ATTGACATGACACCAAGAGAAAGTTGGAGGTGTGGTACTTTAACTTAGCAACAAGGTCAGAACTGAAGAGATAAATCTGGTAGATATATGTACAAATATGATAATTTAAGTTATGACAGTACATGGCATTTTCAAGTGAAAGAATGTAGGCAGAGAAGTAGAAAGGTTCAAGGACTCTATTGCTCACTTTAGGGGTATTAAAATGAAGTGGAAAAAGTAAGCAAAGAGAACTGAGGAAGTAAGAAAATAGGCAGTTTATTTCAATACACTATTAAAGAAAACAAGAGAAGAGAGGCAGTGATGGTTTTACCAAATTACAATACGTTGGTTTATTTCTATTTGGGGGGCAAGATTATATTATATTTAATTCTTAATTACATGTAGGACATTTTTATTCTACATCCTAAAGCAAAATCTTTCATTTCATTGGGAAATGAAAAATTTTCCTATTAGTTTAGTAATAGTTAAGTGAAGTTTTCTTAGACCATATACATTTTACAGTTAGAAAAGCAAAATAAAGAAATCCAATCAATTTTCCTCTTTATATTTATTAGATTTAGTCTTAAATAAATTATCAGAGGTTTTTTTTTTTTTTTTTTTATAGAATTTATTTATTTATTTGACAGAGAGAGAGACACAGCGAGAGAGGGAACACAAGCAGGGGGAGTGGGAGAGGGAGAAGCAGGCTTCCCACTGAGCAGGGAGCCGGACGAGGGGCTGAATCCCAGGACCCTGGGATCACGACCTGAGCCAAAGGCAGATGCTTAACGACTGAGCCACCCACGCGCCGAGGTGTTCTTTTTTATGAATAATTGCATAGATATTTTTACTTCTTGAAGAACACTGCTAATTCAATTAAAAATGATTATAGCAGATTTCTCTCCAAACCATCTTTTTCTGTATGAAATCATAAAAGCAAAATTTGATACAAGCACTGATTTCATTGAGCAGAAAATATCCAAATATCCGATACCTCTTTAAATGAATAATTTTTTTATAGGAAGGAATAAAACTGGGATTGTTGCAATAGTACATTTTTTTTTTCTACACAGTACTTTACATCTGGTTTTAAGGATTTATTTCCTATTGCCTATAGTGTGTGACAGGTTTTATCTTCTTCTTGTCTCTTACATTTGCAAGAGTGCAATTTTATTCCCCAAAGCTTAGATAGCCCACATTCTTACATGGCTTTTTAATCTCTCAAATTATTAAAATGAAAATTTATATCTAGATCTTAGAAGCGATTATCAAAATTATTAAAATATCACTGCTTTCTAAAAGTTGCTATTAAATGTGTTCATTCTGAAACATACACATCATTAATTGCTTTAGGCTATGTTTAACTAGATAAGTTTCTGATAATATAATGAAGACTGAGAGACATGTATCTGCATCCCGATTCTCAAAGGGTTAAACACAAACAAATTGGGTTGTGTGAAGTGTAAATCAAACCCTTTGTTACTCCTTTAGGCTCTGTAAATTTATTTCTAAAGACAGGTGCATCATTCTCTAATGTTGCCCCATAAATTACAAAAGTAGAAACTAAGAGCTCAAAATAGTCATATAAATAAAAGTGTTAGAATATAATTTCAGCTTCAGAATAATTTACAATTGTATCACATCCAATAGGATACAGATTTTTACAGATAACCTAAAGATCACTATATATTTTCCCTGTGTATTACTATTCAAAACTTATTTCATAAATTTCATTTTCCCAGGTGCTGAACCTAATAGGTGAATTGCCATATTACATGTGTTTTCCTTCTAATTGCTATGCACTTTGAAGTTCAAAATCTAGACTACAGAACAAATAGCAGATCTCTTCTCTTTTCAAAATAAGTCAACTCAGTTGATAGCTGGGATTAATTCCCATTTCTCTCTATTTGATATGTGAGCAAGAGAATCACAACTGCCCACAATAATACAACGCAACAAGAAGACTATTTACATGAGGAGTTCACAAGACTATTAATTCAATAGTCCAAGTCACATTTAATGTTCAGAGGCAATTGCCTACATATTTCGCAGACACTTTGGGTTGCAAACTAATGTCATCTCTGTTTTCTTAACAGAACATCTATTAAAATATCAACCCAGGAAGTAACACACTGTAGGATGTTTTAGGATATTTAGTTATAACACCAGTATCCAAATAATTAATGTAAATAAGGTAGAAATAATTATCATGCAATATAAATGTTTATTTGTTATCATATTATGTACTGTTTTACACTAATTCTCATTACTTTGTCAATTTCACTGAGACAAAATTCTTAAAAAGCAGTTTCTCTGGTTGATTAGTTTTATTTTCCCTTAGGTCTCATGAGAATAATAATTAAAATATACTAATAGATAGTTTAATAATAGTGTTGGGTTTATACAGAATTTTTGATGAACAAAATATATTACCTATATAACTATAGGTACTAAGGGAAATGAAGATCAAACAGGCCAGGTCTGTGTGTCATGTTCTTGTGATTAAGCCATTTCATCACTGAATATATACACCAGGTTGGTTAATGACTGTAATTTCTGGATCGCTCCAAAGGACATGGCATATAGTTTAGCAGAGAAGATACTGTGGGAAATGACAACACAAAATTCTGAACTCTAAAAGGTAATAAAACGTGCCTTAATATTTGGCCACTTTTTATCACTTCTTGCCTAGATATCTCCATTATGAAGAAATCACCTATTTACAAAACATTTTATGGAAATAAACACACTTCTTTCACTTATAAAGACTACAGAATTTATTTCCCAATATTTCTCCCTCAGCCTCAAACAAACTGGCCCACTTCTATGGTCAAACTATTTTTATTTATTTTTTTGGTGGAGTGAGGGAAAAACAGTTTATATTCTGTAATCTAAGTATTATCAACAGTTTCAGGAGTCCCATTTTTGAGTTTTCATATATCTGTACATTTTTCAATCACCATTGCTTCCTTCTGGCGCTGCATTACTTGAAGAATGTGAGGCAGTTGCAGAAGCTAAAGAATTAAATGGTATAAATACACCTTTCTCAAACCTTTTGAGTAGCAAAGGGAGGAAAAAATTCAGTACAGATAACTATATAACTTTGCCCTTTATGGTTTTCCTTTAGATTATTTGTTAAAAGGAAATTATTAAATTTTCATGTGCTCTGTAGAGTCTTGCCTTGGTTTATAAGATGAAAAGAAAAAGGGAATATTAACTACTTCATTTCCAAGGGATAGACACTACCTGCCTATGTGCATTAACCGAATTCTTAGTCATTTGGGTTGCAACTGTCTTGAACTACAATGTTTTAGGATGTGCCCTCACTGTGGATTCAATGTCCATGTCGGAGGTCAGGAGATCACAAGCTTTATTCTGTGCCTGCAGTGATCACGTGGTGAAGCGAGCACAATTACAGAACATTTCTGCAGCCAGTTTGGCTCAGATCTCCCTTTCTCCTTCTTTATATATATATATATAATTTACAACTCTGATCTGCTAGATTATTTTACTCAGGCAATATATCTGAATACATGCCTTCCAATTTTTAGGGTGATTATTCAAAATAAAAAATATCATTAAAAATCATTCTAGTATGGAATTTCTTTGAACAAAGTAGATTATAGAGCCGCAGGGATGTATCAATTGGGGAAGCAGGTATGCTTTTCCAGGACAGAGGAAGTGTGAGTTTTAAGCAGATATCTTGTCTGTGTCCTTCTGATGCTCACCTGAACAATTTCTTTTCACTGGTCACGGTTTCTTTGGGAAAGGATTGCCTGCTGCCAAGAATGTGGAAGACAATGCCTGGCAAGAATCACAGAAATGCCATCTACCAGCGCAGATTTTGCAGAAGGCCGCAGTGAGGACGTGCCCAAAATCTGATCATAAAAGCACAGGTTCCAGAAGCTTTGGTTCTATCTCATACCGTAATGTCACCTCTTATTTTATCCTTCATCATTTGCCATTCAACAAAATAATCAAGATTATTTATACTAGTTATAAAGCCACATCACAGTTAAATAATAAACTTCCTTGAAAATGCTCAGAGTGCTTTGTGCAGCTCCTATATGCTAGATTACAAATGTGTATTATCGCTACCCCCATCTCCCACCCTCTAAAATATAAAGCCCTAAAAGGGTATTTCCTGGCAACTTTTCAGCTCTTTTTACCTTTTAAAGCAGGCTATCATCTCTGAGTTTTAAAAAATGTCAACATCTTTGCAGGGTTTTTGTGCTCCAATAAGGAAAGGGTATAGAACATTTTAAAATCTGTCTTTAAAAGTTAATATGAAGAAGCATAAGTTTGCAACTCTCCCAAGTATCTTAAGAAGGATTTACTACTACTTTGAATAACTATCTCATTTGGCTTATTTGCTGGTAATTGCATTCCAATAGAAGAAGGATGCTGGTTTTAGAGATCTAAAAACTACATTATTTCAATAGCAAAAGCATTCATGTTAGAAATACAACAGTAATATACATACACAAGCAAACATAAACACATTCACATGAGGATAGCACAAAATAAAAAAAAAACTATGTAAAAAAGTATGTTGTCTTTCCTAGACTTTATTCATTTATATAATTAATTATATCCCTCTGGTAACAATTTTATTCAACTAAAATCCATTAATTGTTTGAATTATTGCATTGCTATTTGGGTCCAAACAGGAAAACACCTAGGACAGTAATAAGCAAACTAAGTAACTTCAAAAACCTTCAAATTTTTCAAAATGAAAAAATTCCTGTTCTGCTTCAGAAATCTCTCATCAGTCAATGTTTTAACAATACACAGCATGGTCACTGTAATAATCATTATTTCATACTAGTTTTGCTTAAAAATAATAAAAGCACGTTTTGTGACAAACTAAAACATATCTTTGATGGTAGAAAAGCAGATATATAGGTGAGGACATCTTTCAATTTACCTTCATTCGAGGTGCATCTAAGTGACAAGAGCAGGGTGAAACTCTGCTTGTTAACACACTATTGATGACTCAGGCAAATCAGATGGCAAATTACCTTTGAGAGGTCCCCAGCCTCCAAATAGAAGCAGATAACAAACACATTCCAGGTAACCCAGAGGACTAGCCAGACAGCATACTGTAGAAAAACCAAGAGAGAAGTAACAGAAAATTAACTTTGAATCAGCTGAGTAAGATTTAAATGGAACTCAAACTTTTGAACACCCAAATCTTAAGATTAGTGGAAAATATTAGACATTACTTCTAAGGAACAGGCTGAGGTGCACATTTTTCTCTCTGTTGATTTTTTTCTCGCTGTTATGGTCTCATTATAGCCCAAACTTGCTTAGGGATAACTTTTAGACTTTTATAGTAGCCCACATTTATGTTTTAAGTGGGGATGATTATGTTTCCCAGATATCTAATAAAATTGGATACACCAACAGATATATCAAATAAAAATCATCCAAAAGAGACTCATATCTTCCTTTAGCAAAATCAACCCCATGCCTGATAACATACACCCTTTGTCCAAGTTATCTGGTGTCATCTTCCAATCAGTCCCCATGCCTCGGTCGTATCTAACCAGCTTTAGTTCTCTGGTGTCTTCTTTTCCTGTCTCTCTTCACCTTCTTCTTTTATTCTCTCATGATCTCCCATTACAGTGACCATTGAGTTATTATCTCTGATTTTACACGGTTGGCTATTCAGTGTGTTTTCATCACTTATGACAAATTTTTCTTACCAAGATATAGTTCTCAGCATTTGGTCAACTAAAATATATTAAGCATTTAGAGGGCAACATGCTAGAAGGACACTGAAAATACAAAGACCAAAGATAAATTCTCCCTGAATTCAAGTCAAGTGACAGAGACAGATAAGAAGAGATGATTATTATACAAGAATCATAAAAAGATTAGTTGAGCACAAGGAAGGAATATGGGAGAAGTATATAAACTATCCTGAGAAAAAGTCCTGCAAAGCTTAACAGAAAAGATGAAATACCTTCCATAGAGGTGAAGCAAGCTATTTTGTGGACTTTACCAAATAAAAGGATGGAGGTTATAAGGGCTCTGATGGAAAGTGCTGGAAACAAAGAAAACATCAGGTGTGAACTCTACAAAATAAGACAAGAAGATATCATGTCATTTCTCTGCTAAATAAATTCCAATGGCTCCCATCCTGTACGTGGTGCAATCCAAAATTTTTATTTCATAGTTCAAGAACCTCCATGATCTCGTACATGTTATTTTTTCAGACACATGTTTCAATTCATCTCTTATGTCATTAGGGATTACAGGCACATCAGATTACTTGCTGTTGAGCGGACACAGAAAGCTATTTCTTACCTCTGTACCATTTTGTATATTATTCCTCTATCCTTTAATAATTTTTCTCTTCCCTAGGTACTCCTTTACCACCTATCAATATTTTGGTTTTTCACCAAAGCTCAATTTAAATATCACTTCCTGAGTGATAACCAGTCAGAATTGACTTAGCCCAATGAGTAGTGCTTAGTGCTCCAGTGAGCTCTTGCTTCCCTTAATTTGATTCCAAATGTCTTATATCTAATTATTTGTATATTTTCCTCCAATGTCCAAACATAAGCTCCTTGAGAAAAGGGGCTTTTTAAAATGTATGTTTATATCCCTAAATTGTTAACTTTGTACAAAACAGACTTCAGAAAGTATTTTGCAAATCAATGAATAAATGAGGAATAATACAGAGAAAATTTTACTATTTTCAGATGGAGAACCCATTCTCCTGTCCCAGACCTGGTTTTAATGAGAATACTATGATCACATATGTAGTGTGAAGAGTAAGGGTCCTACATGATGAGTTTATGTAATAATAAATAGTGACTCAGCTGTTTTCCAGATGATGGATTTACCTTACTGCTGAATATGTATATTGTTCAGTGAGAATAAAGTAAGAGCAATAAACTAAATGGTCCAAGACATAAGAAGGAGTTTGAGAGTTCTGTTTGAGGTAAAGGCTGGGGACTGGATATAGGGTCAGAAACCTAGGCAGGCTGCAACTAGGAACGTTAGTTATAAAACAGAGATCCAATGAATATTTAAGTTTGCACAGTATTGCAAAGTGTATATTCATCTTACAGTTTAAAAAAACAACTAAAAATCTAGATTTATTTGACTCTTTGACAGATCTGGATCTAAGTTTTAGAAATATAATGAAGTATTGGGTCATACTTTAAAGGTAACAGGTTAAGAATTAAAAGTGTTTATAGTTTCCAGTGGCTTGGTTTAAGTGACTTTATAAAAGAATAAAAGAGTGACTGACTGAAGGTTTTTGTTTTTTTTTTTAAAGGTTTTCTTTATTTGACACAGAGAGAGAGTGAGAGCAGGAACACAAGCAGGGGGAGTGGGAGAGGGAGAAGCAGGCCCCCCACCGAGCAGGGAGCCCAATGTGGGGCTTGATACCAGGACCCTGGGATCACGACCTGAGCTGAAAGCAGACGCTTAACGATTGAGCCACCCAGGCGCCCTGACTGAAATGTTTTATCCTATCCTTTGTTCATGGTGATACACTTTTCCCACCTTATTTATGATGGGAAGCCAAATAAGCACTATTTTCTAAAAGCCAAAGTAGCAGAATTAGGGGCACCTGGGTGGCTCAGTCATTAAGCGTCTGCCTTCAGCTCAGGTCATGATCCCAGGGTCCTGGGATGGAGCCCTACATCGGGCTCCCTGCTCAGCGGGGAGCCTGCTTCTCCCTTCCCCTCTGCCTGCCGCTCCCCCTGCTTGTGTTCCCTCTCTCGCTGAGTGTGTGTCTCTCTCTGTCAAATAAATAAATAAAATCTTTAAAAAAAAAAGAATATCAATGTTGTAGTTTTTCATTTTCACAATCGAAATTATATTTTAAGCTCCTTAAATGCTGAAAAGGTTATCTGCATCCTTGAGGTATACATGTCATAGGCACTATTTCAATATTATATATTGAATATATAATAGGAATTGGACTTTTCATCCAGATACATTTAGACATCATCTACACTTACTTACCTTAATGTGTATGTGCAGATCTAAATTATACTTAGCTTGGTTAAAAAAATAAGCTGAAAAATTTATATTTCAGTCCAAAATCAATAATTTTATGAAGGATAGGTGAGATAATGGGTCACAAGCAAATGAATAGCACATAGAGATTAAGAACTTGAGACCTAAGGTCAAGCTCTAGTCACTTGGAAGCTCTGTGGCTATTTTCATGCCAGATGGGTCTCACTACACTTTAGTTCCCTCAAACATAAAATAGCCTTAGTAACAGGAGCAAACACACATAGTTTATATAAAGATGGAATGACAGAGTGTTTGAAAATAGTCAGTATTTGAGTTCTTACTACCTCCTGCCATTTTATTATGATTATATCACCACTTCTTGTTTAAATAATATAGCAGTAATCCCCAAATTTTTATCTCCTTAGGATACTAAAAATACACTTTTCACATTAATGTAAAACATTCTTTTATCTAATTGAACTTGCAATCTAGACCTGTTTCCCTGAATGCCACATATTCTTCTCTAGAATGTTCTTTTTGGATACATTAATGCCAATGTTGATAGATCATGGCATTTTATGAAACAAATCTTTCTTCATTTAATTTCATTAAAACTATACTATTTCTGACTCAGCACCCTACATAATTGTAAAGCCTTCTGTATCTTGCTTTATGAGCTGCTTTTTTTATTCATGTTTATTAGTAATAACTTTTTTTTAAAGATTTATTTATTTATTTGAGAGAGAGGGAAAACGTGGGGGGCAGAGGGAGAGGGAGATACAGAGAATCTCTTCCTGCTGAGCATGGAATCCCACACGGGGCTCGGTACTAGGACGCTGAGATCATGACCTGAGCCAAAATCAAGAGTCAGATGCTTAATCAACTGAGCCACCCAGACACCTATTTTGTTCTTCTTTTTATCCCTTTTCTCCCAGAGTAATTTAGAAGGATATGTCCAGAATGAACATAACAAATATTCTTTCCATATCTTTGCAATTTACTTGCATAATTTTCATTTCATCCTATACTTCACTACAAACCAGTTGGCCTCACAATGGACTCTACATCATTAAAGATTTACAAAAGAGAATTATCACCTTTAGTGGTGTGATACCTTTAATAAACACAGAAACCCACACATGCTAAGGGGGTAATTCTTGCATTTCCCAAAAGCCAGGCTTTATCTCATTTAACTTTATTCATTAACTTTCTCTCATTTAACTTGTAACCCCTTTTCTTCATTCTCCTCTTTTTATTTATTTTTCATACTTGCTTCTCTCATTTTAGTAGCTGGCATTTGCCTAAATCAAATCATCCCCAAATGAATTTTGCCTAGTTTCTTAAATATAGATTTTGCATTCCCTTGTAATCTGGCCTGTGAGTGATTTTTTGTCAATTAAACCCTATCTTTCACGCTTCTTAAAATTACTCATCATAATTATTTAAGAGTATGAATATCTGTACTAACTTCTCCCCAGTTGCTACAGCTACAGTTGATGTGATATAACTGACAATTCTCAGTTTGAATATAATTGAAAACGATGTCCTGCCCAGGAGAGATAACCTAACAGGATAACAAAGTATCACAATTTCCAGATTTCACCTTCCTTGTAGTTATTTGCTATAAAACGAATTTTTCTTTTAGCCTCTCTTTTTTCTGTGAAAAAGAAATCTGGTATTTTATGTTTCAGGTTAAAAAAACCAAACAACTATGAGATAACTGTGGTGATAGAAAAATCCTATTGTATGATGAAATTCATTTTTTAAAGGCTGATGTCTGTAACACTAAATGGACCATTGGAGAGGCTGATTTAACTTGAGTCTCCAACTAAATGGTAAAAATTATCAGCTGAAAAGTAATTGAATCATCATGGTTTCCCTCTTGTATTTGTGGCTCTAATGATGAAATAAAATTAGCTGCATAAGATAAAAATTAGTTAAGGCTGTCAGTCATGACAGGCCAGAATATTGGCCAGATCCACAGACACGGTGCTATTACAGGCCATGGTTACATAATAATTAGTAAGGTAGAGCCTCAGACGAGAAGGCTGGTAAACATTTTATTGGAAAATAATGATTTGCACCTTAATGACACTGCCATTGCTTTTCTACCTCTCTCTCT